AACACACACACACATACACACACACACACACACACTCACCACGGCCGGGATGTTCACCGTCGTCACCATATCCACTTTCGGGTCTCCAACTGATTTCTCATGCAAAAAGACGAAACTCTTGACTGTATAAGCTGAGACCTTCTCCCCGTTGTCCACAAATGTCACGTTGCGTTTGGGCCTGTACTGTCTGGAACACAAGACAAGCAAAACACCATTGAGTTGAGCGCAAATAATACCATTACATCTTTAACTGGCATTGTGCAAGTTTGAGTACAGAGCCAATGAATGAAAATTAGCTTGAAACCAATACAACAGCATAAAACATCATTAAAATGAAAAAGATGACAGTGCAAAGTGGAAAATGAGGCACAAATGACTGTGTAAAGCAAATGATGATTGTAGGACCGAAGAAATGATCTATAAGTGCATATTATATTATATTATATTATATTTTATGACACTATATTTTGTAAATATTTAAATATAATTAAAAGATATATAAATACATTTTATATCACAAATATAAATATTATATATATACATTTTATAAATATATTATAATATATATTAGAATTGTAATTTAAACCAACCAAACCGCACTTTAGCTGAGTGGCAATAATACAATTACATTGCATTAGAATGACTTTTATTGGCATAGTGTGAGTTTGAGTACAGAGCAAATGAAACACAATGATCATTTCAATGAAAATGATGGTAGTGCAAAGTGAAAAGCGAGGCACAAATGGCTGTATAATGCAAATCATGATTGCAGGACATAAGAATGATCATATACGAACAGGATGTGATTCATAATAGTTGATATTTGCAGTTATCTACAGTTCAACATCAGATGTTTCCAGAGTGTATCGATTCCTGCCGGAGTGTTTTCTGTTTGCTCTGAATTACCCAAGTCCAGTGCAAACAAGCCATGCAGAGGAATACAGGTCAGGCCGCTGAACTGTCCTTGGATGAGCGGTGGAGAAAGTTAACGGCAGACTTTGATATTTGTTTAGGGTGTGACATGAATGATCCTGCAGACATGAGGAGAGCATGACTGCAAACATGCTGATCAAACATGACAGCCTTAGCTGGAACTGAGTATTTAATAATAAACACAGATAAATCTTCAGAAAAGATGTTCAGCGTCTGCAAATTAGCAGAGCTAACTGAAGTAAACTTGGGTGTCAGTTACCAGCAAACGTTACATTTACAATTTGAATAGGAGTTGTTTGTTTTATGTTTTGAGATAAATTATGAAAATGAAGATATATATACAGTATATACACTACCAGTCAAAAGTTTTTGAACAGTAAGATTTTTTTAAAGAATTCTCTTCTGCTATATATATATATATTCAATAATAATAAATATATAAATAATAATTTTTAATAATTCAATTATAATATAGTAAATTAAAATATAATTGCTATTTTTTTTGTATAATTTATAAATTTTATAATTGATCACTTTTTTGGATAAACACATTAAAAACAAACATATGTGTCTAAACATGATTTGTTATGTATGTTCTGTTTTGTTTTGTTTTATGTTACATTTGTTACAGTTTGGCACATTTTGCTAAGTAATGCTACTGTTTGTTTAGTTTTGTTACATTATTTTTTATATAACAAGACATAACATAGCAAACCGTAACATGTTGCTTTGTTATGTTATTAGGTTTTTTGTTATATTATGTTTTATGTTGTTTATAAGAAAAAAACAACAACAACAACGTTGTTTTATGTGATGCTGTTTTGTTATGATTTATAACAGTCACAACAGTATGTTATTTTATCTCATGTTTTGTTTCATTATTTATATTTTATTAGAGGAAAACAACAAAACAAAAGATAAAAACAAAACAAGTTATGTTTTATGTTATGTTTTGTCATATTACGTTTTTATGTTGTTTTGCTAAGTTATGCTATGTTATATTTGACAAATAAAAAGAAGTTTCTGGGTTCAGATATTCTTAACAGATCTATGTTCAGATGCATGATGGGATTGATTAAAGAGTTACATAATGCAGACAGAGTCATTTCCGGAGATTAGGCATGTGCTGTGATATTACTTTAGATAGCAGCTATTTTACAACATAACTACTGGTAGCATGATGAGCTTTGTCAGTTTTACTGTCTTTCTTAAATTACAGCCCAATTAAATGCTGGAATATGAGTCAGGTTTGCTCAGGCCGCAGCGTGACGGATTTGTGCAGAGATTCGCACTGGACTCAAATCTCTGAGCATCAGCACTGTTTGGCTTCGTCTGCAGCAGAAGCCAAACACAGTCTGGTGCCTCTGAACTGATTCTGCTGCCGTCACATGGAGGAGTTGAACGCTTATGCACCCTAGTTTATAATGTAATGCAACTGTGCATTACTTTCTTCTATGAGTTCTACTGATGGCTTTTTCTTACTTGACAAAAAACATTACAAAACATAACATAAAAAACATGACATAGCATAACATAACATTAAACATAAAAAATGTAACAGCAAAATCTACCATTGTTTTGTTATGTTGTATTATATTCATGTTGTTATGTTACTGTATGGTTTGTTTTGTTATATTGTTTTTATAGCAAAACATAACATGTTATGTTGTTCTGATGTTGTTTTGTTATTTTTTATAGTATGTTTTATGTTGTTTCATACAAAAACAACAACATAGAATAGCAATGTTATGTTTGTGATCTTTCGTTATGTTTTATAACATAAAAACATAGTATAACAAAATACAACATAACATGTTATGTCTTGCTGTTATATTACAGTCTTATATTTTAATTTTATGTTTTGCTCAGTTATGTTTTATAACAAAAAAAAACATAGTAAAGCATAACATGTAAAGTCGTATGTTATGTTTTGATGTTATGTTGTTTTATGTTATTTTAGTTGTTTTATAACAAAATATACCACTGCAAAACATAATGTTAAGTTAAATGTTTTATGTTTTGATGTTACATTGCTTTATTTTTTTGTTATGTAATGTTTTATAACAAAAATAACCACACATAACACTGCAAAACATTATGTTTTAAAACAAGTTATGTTTTATGTGATACAGATTTGTTTGTTATGTTTAGTTTAGTTTTGCAACTGATATGTTTTGTTATGGTATATTATGTTTTTATGTTATATTTTATAATAAAAACCATAACATAACATAGCAAAACATAACGTTATGTTTTTTTTGTTATGTTTTATGTTGTTTAATGTTTGTTTTGTTATATTGTTTTTATAGCAAAACATAACATGTTATGTGTTATGCTGTTCTGACGTTGTTTTGTTATTTTTATAGTATGTTTTATGTTGTTTCATACCAAAAATAATGTTTGTGATCTTTCGTTATGTTGTTTTATAACATAAAAACATAGTATAACAAAATATAATATAACATGTTATGTCTTGCTGTTATATTACAGTCTTATGTTTTATGTTTTGCTCAGTTATGTTTTATAACAAAAAAAAACATAGTAAAGCATAACATGTAAAGTTGTATGTTATGTTTTGATGTTATGTTGTTTTATGTTATTTTTGTTGTTTTATAACAAAATATACCACTGCAAAACATAACGTTAAGTTAAATGTTTTATGTTTTGATGTTACATTGCTTTATTTTTTTTGTTATGTAATGTTTTATAACAAAAATAACAACACATAACACTGCAAAACATTATGTTTTAAAACAAGTTATGTTT